CAAGATGGCTAGTGAGAGTCCCCTTCCTGCGGTCCAGGAAGTAAAAATTGCATTGCTGAAAGATCCTTTGTCTCAGCGCTGATTTTTCTTCGCATCCCTGAGCATCTATTTCCAACGTGACTGTGTTGGTATAAAGAGAAATAGAATCCAGGTTGGATTCATTATTATACGCAGGTGTTTTTCCTTCTTATTAAAAAAAATGATAAAATTAAAGCCTTTCTGTGTCCCTGGCATGGCTGTGCCCAGGGACAGGTGGGCACTGATGGCTGGTGGCACCTTGAGAGTTTCTAATCCAACTGATCTGGGGCGCAGCCTGGGCATGGAGTCTTTTAAATGCTCCCCCAGGGGATTGTTTCTTCATTCTTTTTTTTTTTTTTTTTTTTTAAAAGAGGGCCTCACGCTGTTGCTCAGGCCAGAGTGCAGTGGTCAGATCACGGCTTGTTGCAGCCTTGAACTCCTGGGCTCAAGCCAGCCTCCTGCCTCAACCTCCCAAGCAGCTGGGACCAGAGGCACACATCACCACGCTCAGCTAATTTGTTTTATTTTATTTTATTTTTTGAGACACAGTTTTGCTCTTGTTGCCCAGGCTGGACTGCAATGGCACGCTCTCAGCTCACTGCAACCTCCGCCTCCTGGGTTCAAGTGATTCTCCTGCCTCAGCCTCCCGAGTGGCTAGGATTGCAGGCATGTGCCACCATACCCAGCTAATTTTGTATTTTTAGTAGAGACAGGGCTTCTCCATGTTGGTCAGGCTGGTCACAAACTCCCGACCTCAGGTGATCTGCCCACCTCCACCTCCTAAAGTGCTGGGATTACAGGCATGAGCCACTGCACCTGGCCTTAATTTTTTATTTTTGTAGAGATGAGGTCTCACTACTACCCAGGCTGGTCTTTAATTCCTGGGCTCCAGTAATACTCCTGCCTTAGTCTCCTCAAAGTGTTGGGATTACAGGTATGAGCCACCATGCCCGGCCTCAAGTAGGGGATTCTAATGTGGAGCCATGGAGTCTGAGGACAGTGGCCCTGGCCTTGTTGTACAGGAGTCGATAAGAATCTTTCTCATCTGGAATCATACACCAGCAGCCGGACAGAGCCGTGACTGACAAGGCCGGGAAGCCAGGCATGGTCCCCTCCATGCTGTATAGCAATGGGAGGAACAATCATTCCTGCCCTTTAGTCCCTGAGATCAGTGAGGCAACAGTCATTTATCTTCCCCCTGGGGGCTGGAAAGTCCTTGCAGGGCTCCTAGAGGACTGACGGCTTCTAGACCCGTGTAGTTCTGGGCAGCTCAGCCCCTTCCCGACTGTCCATGCACCTACAAACACATCCGGAGACACAGATACGTGTGCATGCGCGCGCACACACACACACACACACACGGACAGACACTCACAGACAGCTACGGAGACACCCAGAGCCCAGCTCACACACACAGCAGACACCCAGACCCCCCAACACATACACACGCTCCTTCATATCCCCCCCATACACAGCCCCCAAGACACACACAGCTATGGAGACACCCAGACCACCCCCGCTCACATGTACACATGTGGACACTATCTGGTCACGGATAAAGGCCTGAACGGATTTAAGACTATAAGACAGAAGGCAGGTGGAAAATAAAATGAGGAGTCCATTTAGTTAGACAAACAACAAATATGGGAAAGGCAAACTGAGGCAACCACAAAGAAAGACCTTGAGTGAAAACGGAAAGGCCAAGCACGGTCGCTCACGCCTGTAATCCCAGCACTTCAGGAGATCAAGGCAGAAGGATCACTTAAGCCCAGGATTTTGAGACCAGCCTGGGCAACATAGAAGACCTCAACTCTACAAAAGATTTAAAAATTGGCCAAGTGTAGTGGCGCATGCCTGTAATCCCAGCTACTCAGGAGGCTGAGGCAAGCAGATCACTTGAACCCAGGACTTCTGAGACCAGCCTGAGCAACACAGTGAGCCAGGCGTAGTGACATGCACCTGTAGTCCCAGCTACTCAGGGGGCTGAGGCAAGGATCGCTTGAACCTGGGAGGTGGAGGTTGCAGTGAGCCGAGATCGTATCTGTGCTCCAGCCTGGGTGACAGACTAAGACTAGGTCTCAAAAAATAAATAAATGAACCATACAGGTGGGATTACTCTATAACCCAGCAACTGCATTCCTCGGCATACACCCAAGGGAACTGAAAACGTATGTCCACACAGAAGCCTGTAAACAAATGTTCTCAGCAGCATTGTTCATAATAGCCAAAAGCTAGAAATAACAGATATTCATCAAGGGATGAGTGGATTAACCAATTGTGGTCTATCCACGAAATGGAGTATGATCCACCCACAAAAAGGAATGACGCACCGGTCCTTGCTACCATGTGGATGAACCTTGAAAGCATGATGCTCAGCAAAAGATGCCAGGCGCAAAGATAACGTATTCTACGACTCCCTTGATACGGTATACCCACTATAGGTAAATCCATAGACAGAATGCAGACTGATGGGTGCCAGGGGTTGCAGGGAGGAGGGAACGGGGAGTGGCTGCTAATGGGAATGGGGTATTTTGGGCTGACGGAAATGTTTTGGAACTAGGTAGAAGTGATGGTTTCGTAACATTGTGAATGTACTACGAGCCACCTAATTATGTACCTTTACACTAGGCGAATTTTAGATGGAAAAAAGGAAGGAGGGAAGTGGAAGGGGGAAGAAATGTTGGCAGGGCAGCCCTAAGCCCGCTGTTCACTCTTTCTAGACAGGGTCGCGCTTTCTACCCCAATTGCACAATGCCTGCGACACAGCAGGAGTTAACCGATGATAAGCAACGTGAAATCCAGACACCAGCCAGAGGCTTCCAGATGTTACCCTTCACACCGACTTTACACTGTGACCTCCCTCACCCAACCCACACATCTATATACCCAAAAGTTTTACAAATAATACTCACATCTATTATGAGTGATGCACTAAGTGAGGCACTGTGACTTTTGACAAACCCACTAAATTGATTTTGCCCATTTGGGAAACCAGCCAGGATCACTTAAAGGACACTGAAGTACTAAGAGCTTTAAGAATACTTAGATGCTGAGGCCAGGCACAGTGGCTCACGCCTGTTATCCCAGCAATTGCGTGGCCAAGGCAGGCAGATAACTTGAGGCCAGGAGTTTGAGAACTGCCTGGCCAACACAGTGAAGCTGTCTCTACTAAATATACAAAAATTAGCCAGGCGCGAAGGTATGCCCCTGCAGTCCAGGCTACTCGGGAGGCTGAGGCAGGAGAGTCACTTGAGCCCTGGAGGCAGAAATTTGCAGTGAGCCGATTGTGCCACTGTACTCCAGCCTGGGCACAGAGAGAGACCCCATCACAAAAGAAAAGGGGAGGGGAGGGAAGGGGCAAGGAGAGGAGGGGAGGGGAGGGGAGGGGAGGGGAGAGGAGGAGAGGGGGGAAGGGAGGGGAGGGGGGAAATTGGGAAGCCATCTTTTTAAAACTGCAGAGAGCAGTTATAAAGTGGTTACATGCACTAGACTCTATACTTGGTGGTGACCTATTTATTTATTTCATTTTAATCTAAGCTCCAGAATCTTATTTAAAATTCTTAGATTAAAAAAGAAAAAAAAGCCGGGTGTGATGGTTCCTGCCTGTAGTGATCCCAGCACTTTGGGAGGCCGAGATGGGCAGATCACCTGAGGTCAGGAGTTCAAGACCAGCCTGGTTAACATGGCGAAATCCTGTCTCTACTAAATATACAAAAATTAGCTGGGCACAGTGGCAGGTGCCTCTAATCCCAGCTACTTGGGAGGCTGAGGCAGGAGAATTGCTTGAACCCGGGAGGAGGTTACAGTGAGCTGAGATCATGCCATTGCACTGTAGTCTGGGCGACACAGCAAGACTCCCTCTCAAAAAAACAAACAAAAAAAACACTACTCTTGATGTCTCTTTCATGGCCCTTGCTAGATCTACTTCCAATTCAATCATGTGCCTGCAAAAAACAGGCGACTCATTGTAAACATTTGAGTCATACAGGGAGGAGGGGACCGAGGGACCAAAAGGCAAATCCGAATTCTGCAAGTAAAATTCCAACGTCTAGAGTTACTCCTACCAGAAATCTTCAGTCCAGAAGGTCAGAGAAAGATTTTAGCATCCCAAACACAACAGGCTCTCACTAGGGAGAAAACCAAGGCCAAAGGTGTGAGTACACGAAGCCACGTTTATACATAGTTCAATATCCAACAGAGGTGCTCTCGTTAGCAACCGGGAGGCCAGCTGTCCCAGAGAAAACATTTTCATGGGGAATGCTGCGGTCAGCAAGGATCACGTGCTTACGTCTGGCTTCAATAGATGCAGTAGCTGAATAGTTTTGTTAGGACACAAACCAACACTTCTTAGAATTCCCCCTCGCCTAGATGGACACAGCAGAATATAAGATATGCAGCCACTTTTGGTATCAGATTGATAAAATTCCTCTCTGCGGTCCGAGTAGGTACGTATAAAGCCCTTTCATCCACTGAATGTGAACCAGTGTCTGTAACACCCTCAAGTCCCCATCAGAAAAAAGCCTTTTAATTTGCAAAAATACGCAAGCCCATACTTTGAACAATAAAATGGAATGTCCAACGCTGCGTATTCCAGGCATCTGACGTGGAAGTTCTGTGTAATACATGTTTTTACGATCCTGAAATAGGGCTCTTGTTTTGAAGACTTTGCGTGTGTAATTAATAACAGCTTGAGATCATGTATATGCCACCATCTGAGCCAAACTGCTAAATATGCATGGCCTCAAAACCGCACAATCAAGATCTGGAAAGCAGCAATGAATTTTCAAGACTGTAATTTAGGGTTTAAATGACAATGTAAGCCCCACCAAGATGACAGTATTTCCCTGCACCTACTGAAATGAAGCCGTCTCATCAGGTAGCAGAGGAGGGGGAAGGCGGCATTCATATTCCTGACACGTTACAATACCCTCTCTTTAGCATCTCACAAAGCATGTTTTGTTCAGAGAATGAATGAGGACAGCTCTCTTCTGTGCATTTTATTAAAACTTGAAAGCTATGGCTTGCCACCATCAATGACGCCTATTGGGTTCCAATAGCCCAATGTTCAAATGTGACTCGTTAGCAAATCCGCCCAACTCAACATCGGTCATCTTGACAGGGCAGGATATTCAGCAAGTCTGAAGTTTTTCATCGGGAAGAATTTTTCAACGTTACCAAGCAAATAAAGGCTCTTTGTAACAACAGCTGGAAATGCAACATGAGAGCCCTTTCTACACACCCAAAGAAATCATAAATAGTTCACCGAGTGAACGAAAGACTTTATTTTTCAAAAGCAGGTAACACCAAAGGACTATGTGGTATCCATAATCATTGCAAAAATGATAATTACTGGAAATTTCCAAACATCACATAAAATAAGGGCGATCAACAGTTACCATGATCATTTTCAGCCAATATACAGATGTGCGTTGAAGATCTAGGTTTTATTTCTACATAGTAGTATTCACATGAGTTCCCTATGCCTAATTATCATCAAATCGGGGACTCGTGAAGGTCGAGCCCAGCTTTTTCTTGACTTCAGAGACAACACAGAAGCTGACCTAGAATTCTGGCTTGCTGCTTGAGTCCTAGAAATCAGGTCTTCTGATGTTTTACAACAAACCGTGTCTCTGAAAACTAAAATCAGACTTTAGATTCCTCTGAAAGAGTTCTGGTTCCCAAGTGGTCTGGCACCAGGGTACCCAGACATGCTCAAAACGTGTTTTCCCTTATCTTTCAAAACCCATCGCCAGGACCCAAAAGGGACCCCACTTTCAGAGTTCCATGAAGAAGGTGTTTAAAAACCACATTATCCCCAAGTAAAGGCAGAGGATGAAATTATCAATGTCTTTTTATGTAGGTTTTTTTTTTAAGTGAGACTGCATGGACAAATGGGAAAATGACACCAATCAGACGAGTACAGAAAATGTTAATAAATCCTCCGCTTAAAATTACGTTTAGGCCAAGCACAGTAGCTCATGTCTGCAATCCCAGCACTTTGGAAGGCCAAGGCAAGAGGATTGATTAAGACCAGGAGTTTGAGACTAGCCTGGACAACATAGTAAGACCCCATCTCTGTCTAAACAAAAAAAAGAAATCTGCTCAAAAGTATTTCAGACCAAAAGGAGGTAATAAAAACCGTTCATATAATTATGAGAAAAAATCCCTGCATGGAAAGGGGTGCTGAGGGTCTGACACAGAGAAACCGGGGGGTCGGAGCAGTGATAAAAATCCAGCCCTATTTTTTTAGCATGCATTTATGACCTTGTGGATATGTCTGTGCTGGGTGTTAATAGCCCCTCTTCCTCGTACTTAAAAAAAAATTAAGAAATTAAAGTGAATCTGTGTGCTAATGAAGTCTGCAGTTGTAGAGTCTAAAAGCCAAGCCTGTAAAGTCTATAAGGCAAGATCTCTGTCATCAGGGATGGGAAGAGATGAGTAAGATACTAGTAGGCACTAAAGGCTGCCTCAGCCAAGCTCCAGGCAGAACAGCCTCCAAAATAAGGCAATTGTGGCTTCTCAGTGTGAGACCGCCACCAGAAAGGCCCACGGAGGCAGGAAAAAGAGCCACTGATGGCAGATCACAGGAAGAGACTCAGATAGGGCAATGATCACAGTTAGATGGGAGGACTCAGGGTCACAGGGTGGCAGAACTGACACTTGGACTGACACTCAAGGGGAATGTCTTTGCAAGTCCTATGCACACGACTCCAAGCAGCAATTTCTGGGGTTTGGAGGTTGGTTAGTTTTGTGACATTTTCCCCCCAAAGGAAGACATGAAGGTGGGCCCCCTGCAGAGGTGAGACCACCAGGACAGAACCTCCACCAGGCGTGAAGCTGGATGAGTGGTGGAAAGGACTCCCTGCGGCGCCCGGCTCCCTCCACGTCTGGCTGAGTCCTACAAACGCTTGTAGGTGCCCAGGAGAACTTTGCAGTTGGGACAGTAATGGTCCACGTCCTGCAGGGCGTCCACACAGAAGGGGATAAAGCAGCAGCCCGCTACGCACCTGGGAGAAGAGAGAGAGACACAGGGAGCACGTTACTGACTACTGCAGGATGGACGCTCGCTTCCAAAAACACAGGTTCTTGTCCTTCTTTGTAAAAAAGGGTCTTTGCCAGTGTAATTAGGGATTTTGAGATGGGATCATCTTGGATTACCCAGGTGGACCCCCAAAACTCAATGACCTTAGAAGAAGAGGAGAGGACACACAGAGAGAGACAGAGGGCAGAAGGGGATGTAAAAAAAGAGGCAGAGATTAGGGTGATGAGGCCACAAGCCAAGAACACCTGGACATACCAGAAGTGGAAGAGGCAGAAAAAACGGTTCACCCCTGGAGACTTAGGAGGGAGGGTGGTCTTGCTGACATTTTGGTTTTGGGGTGTTTTGTGTTTGTTTTTTGAGACGGAGTCTCGCTCTGTCACCCAGACTGGGGTACAGTGACACAATCTCGGCTTGCTGCAATCTCTGCCTCCCGGGTTCAAGCGATTCTCCTGCCTCAGCCTCCTGAGTAGCTGGGATTGCAGGCACACACCACCATGCCTGGCTAATTTTTGTATTTTTAGTAGAGACAAGGTTTTACCAGGTTGGCCAGACTAGTCTCAAACTTCTAACCTCAAGTGATCTACCAGCCTTGGCCTCCCAAAGTGCTGGGATTACAGGGGTGAGCCACTGCACCCGGCCCCTGCTGACATTTTGATTTTACACCTCTAGCCTCCAGAATTATGAGAGTCAATGGCCGCTGTTTTAAACACTAGGTATGAGGTAATTTGTGATAGTGGCCCTAAGAAATTACCATGCCAGCCACTGCCAAGGCTCCTCCCACAGACAGAGCCCCTCTGGGCATTATTTCAAATCTTGGGTCATTTGGGAATCTTCCAAAGTCTTAGACGGGCTTGGTGAACTTTTTTTGCAAATGGACAGACAGAATATCTTTTAGTCTTTTTGTTGCTGGTTTTTGTTTGTTTTTGTAGAGATGGGGTCTCGCTATGTTGTGCAGGCTGGTCTTGAACGGCTGGCCTCAAGTGATCCTTCCACCTCTGCCTCCCTAAGTGTGGGATTACAGGTGGAAGCCACCACACGCCCCGACGCATACGTCATCTTGATGTTGCCACTACTCAACTCTGCCCTTATAATGAGAAGGCAGCCACAGAGAATCCAAAAATCAATGACGTGGCTGTGTCCCCGTAAAACTTAAAACAGGCACCTGGCTGCCGGGCCGTTTTACCAACCCCCGTCTTCCTAATCTCTTTTCCATATGGACAGGTTGCTTCTTAGAGCAACCAAACAGAATCCCCCAAATAACGCCCCTTAACCTACATAATCCACCATCGGCACACACAGGCAGGAATTTCACACAGCCTGACAAGCAGTGTTTGCCGAAAACATAGTTAAAACTCAGCCTTTTATAGGAAGACGTTGCTTTACATAATGCAGAATTTGGAAATATTCTCATGAGGAAGCTATCTAATGAAAGAAACTTCCTCCTACTGCCCAACTTTCCAGAGCTCACACAAGGGCAGGCGGTCAGTCTGCTCAGTGGGAATCCTAATCTGTGGCTTACAGGTGCTGTCACAGTTCCAGGCAGCACACACACCTTTACCCTCAGCAGCCCCCGAGGTGGGCGTTATTGACCCCCCGCCACCTGCCACCTATAGATGAGGAAACCGAAGCACAGAGAGGTAAAGTCCCTTGCCTATGGCCACACAGCAAGTGAGAGGCAGGATTTGAACCCACTGTACCATGTTTAAGGAAGGAACAAAGGGATGGAAACAAAGTCTGGCTCAATTTCTAAAGCCAGATGGGCAGAGGCTAATACTCAATGTAAGTTTCTATTCTTCAATAATCCCAGCATTTTTGGGGGTCAAGGCAGGAGGATTGCTTGAGTCCAGGAGTTCAAGACCAGTCTGGGCAACAGAGTAAGACCCCCACCTCCACACACAAAAAATTTAAAAATTAGCTGGGAATGGTGGCACACACCTATGGTCCCAGCTACTCAGGAGGCTGAGGCGGGAGGACTGCACGTGCTCAGGAGGTCAGGCTGCAGTGAGCTATGATCCCACCACCACACTCCCACCTGGGCAACAGAGCAAGACTCAGTCTGAAACAAAACAAAACAAGTCAGTTTCTTTTTCTCTTTTTGACGGAGTCTCGCCCTTGTTGCCCAGGCTGGAGTGCAATGGCGTGATCTCGGCTCACTGCAACCTCCACCTCCCGGGTTCCAGCAATTCTCCTACCTCAACCTCCTGAGTAGCTGGGATTACAGGTGCCCACCACCACACCCAGCTAATTTTTTGTATATTTAGTAGAGATGGGGTTTCACAATGTTGGTCAGGCTGGTCTCGAACTCCTGACCTCAGGCGATTAACCTGCCTCGGCCTCCCAAAGTGCTAGGATTACAGGCGTGAGCCACTGAGCCCGGCCAAACAAGTTTCGATTCCGTCTTTCCCTGATTTCAAAGACAAAAATTAATTTTCATACAAATATCCAGAGGCAATGGACTTTCTTTTTTTAGAATTTTCTGCCCACGGAATGAAAACAGCAACTAACAGCAGAGTCCTTTGGGCAAGAGAGGGAATCAGGTGCCCAGAGAGCTGTTTCATCTCCTTCCTTCTTTATTAAATATATGATCTCAAGGAAGTTAACTAAACTCTCCAGGACTCTGAGCCTCTTTTTGAAGTTAGGAAGAGAAATATTGTTCCTTCTCAGCCTCAAGTCACCAAAGGACAATGTGGAGGAACATGCCACTTGCGTGAGGCTCCTGAAACTCACAATCATTTCCTTCAAGGAAAAGAACAGAGCCCGCGGGGGTTTTCTGAGTGGCTCACGTGGCCAGGAATAAGGAACCTACTTGTACCTGCTTTGTGGGAAACAAAAAATTAACTGTTTCTCAGATTCTTCTCCCAGAACAGAAACTATTATCTCTTTAAACATAATACCCTTGGTGCCGACATAACTATTTCCGTAATTCCCCTGCATGGGCAATGGGAAAAACACTTCCGGGTCATAAAAGGATAAGAAGTTCTGAAGTAATTTCTCTGAAGAATTTTAACATACAGATTGTTTAAAGCTTCTCTCAGGCTCGAGCAAACATTATCATTTAGGTCATGAAATTCTAGAAGAAAACGGAATCCCTCAGGGTACTGCCCTAGACACAGCTGCGAGCAGCTGCGAAGCTTATCCCTACATGCAGGGAGTGGTTTCAGCAGATAAGCAAGAAGAAATGACCAGATGAACCATTTCTGGGGGCTGATATGCGTAAGAGCAGCGGAGATGACTTGGCCCCCCAGGGGGCATTTTTGGTCAGTTTAACACTGGGGAGCACGGTGCTTCTGGCGTCAGGCAGGTGGGGGCCAGAGATGCTGTTCAATATCCTACAATGCACACGATGGCCCTTACAACAAAGAAATGTCTTGGTCCAGGCATAGTGGCTCACGCCTGTAATTCCAGCACTTTGGGAGGCTAAGGTGGGTGGATCACCTGAGGGTCAGAAGTTCGAGACCAGCCTGGCCAATATGGTGAGACTCCATCTAAAAATACAAAAAAATTAGCCGGGCATGGTGTTATATACCTGTAATCCCAGCTACTCGGGAGGCTGAGGCAAGAGAACCACTTGAGCCCGGTAGGCAGAGGTTGCAGTGAGCCTAGATCGTGCCACCTCACTCCAGCCTGGGCAACAAAGTGAGACTTCGTCTCAAAAAAAAAAAATGTCTTGGGCCAAGCGCAATGGCTCACACCTGCAATCCCAGCACTTTGGGAGGTCAAGGCGGGCAGGTTACCTGAGGTCAGGAGTTCTAGACCAGTCTGGCCGATGTGGTGAAATCCCACCTCTACTAAAACAGGCCATGGTGCATGGTTGTGCACACCTATAATCCCAGGTACACAGGAGGCTGAGACAGGAGAATCGTTTGAACCTGGACAGTGGAAGCTGCAGTGAGCAGAGATCACGCCTTGCACTCTAGCTGAGCAACAAAT